TACTGTCAACAACAACATAAACAGGGTGTACGCAAATATGCCTGACCTTTGCCCTAGAGGGAGCCATTATCTTTATTATCCTGGATAACAAGCCTGTCTTCCACCTTAGAGGGAGACACTATTCAGAGAAGACACTGTCTTCTCTGGCTGGTCACTATACAACCATCCTTGAAAATACAGGGTGGAGGAAAAGTAGGTTTACAGCCCTGGCATGTTTGGCTCAGTTGGTTGGAGCCTCATCCCGTGCACAGGTTGTCTGTCTGATTCCTGGTCAGGGCACATAACTAGGTTGCAGGTTCAGGAGACAACCAATTAATGTTTCTCTCTCCCTTCCCCTCTAAGAAAAGAAACACACACACAAAAATATCCCTGGGTTAGGATTCAAAAGAAAATTTTTATTGCACTTATAGGGGTGACATTGGTTAATATTATATAGGTCTCAAGTGTATAATTCTATAATACATCATCTATATATTGTGTTTGCTCACCACCCACCAAATGGCTACAACTTTTATTTTTAAGTATTTCTTTTTTTATTTTATTGTTACTTTGCTTTACCACAGTTTTTTAAAATTTAAATTCTTTATTGTTTAAAGTATTACATATGTCTCCTTTTTCCCCATTGACCCCTCCTGGGCTGCTCCCACCCCCCCGCACATGCCCTCACCCCCCTACTGTCTGTGTCCATGGGTTATGCTTATATGCATACACACAAGTCTTTGGTTGCTCTCTTACCCCCCTCCCTCCCCTGCCTACCCTCTGAGGTTGGATGGTCTGTTGGATGCTTCTATGTTTCTGGATCTATTTTTGTTCATCAGTTTATGTTGTTCATTATATTCCACAAATGAGTGAGATCATGTGATATTTATCTTTCTCCAATTGGCTTATTTCGTTTAACATAATGCTCTCCAGGTCCATCCATGCTGTTGTGAATGGTAAGCATTCCTTTTTTTACAGCAGTGTAGTATTCCACTGGATAGATGTACCACCGTTTTTTAATCCACTCATCTGCTGATGGGCTCTTGGGCCATTTCTAAATCTTTATTGTAAATTGTGCTGCTATGAATATAGGTGTGCATATATTCTTTCTGATTGGTGTTTCTGATTTCTTGGGATATATTCCTAGAAGTGGGATTACTGGACCATTTTTAATTTTTTGAGGAAACTCCATACTGTTTTCCACAGTGGCCGCACCAGTCTGCATTCCCATCAGCAGTGTACGAGGGTTCCTTTTTCTCCACATCCTCGCCAGCACTTGTCGTTTGTTGATGATAGCCATCCTGACAGGTGTGAGATGGTACCTTGTTGTTGATTTGCATCTCTCAGATGATTAGTGACTTTGAACATGTTTTCATATGACTCTTGGTCTTCTGTATGTCCACTTTCGAAAAGTGTCTATTTAGGTCCTTTGCCCATTTTTTCATTGGATTGTTTATTATCCTTTTAAGTTGTATGAGTTCCCTGTAAATGTTGGAGATTAAACCCTTATCGGATGTAACATTGGCCAATATGCAGTGGGCTCTCTTGTTTTGTTGATAGTTTCTTTTGCTGTGCAGAAGCTTTTTATTTGATGCAGTCCCATTTGTTTATTTTCTCCTTAGTTTCCATTGTCCTAGAAGCTGTATCGGTAAAGATATCGCTACCAAATGTCCGGTCTGATATTTTGCTGCCTATGGATTCTTCTAAGATTTTTATGGTTTCCCATCTTAAATTCCTTTATCCATTTTGAGTTTATTTTTGAGTAAGATGTAAGTTGGTGGTCTTTCATTTTTCTTTGCCTGTATCTGTCCAATTTTCCAAACACCATTTATTGAAGAGATTGTGTTGACTCCATTGTATGCTTTTGCCTCCTTTGTCAAATATTAATTGAGCACAATGGCTTAGGTCAAGAAGGGAGAGAGAGATAGGAACATCAATGATGAGAATCATTCGGCTGTCTTCTCCTGCATGCCCCTTACTGGGGATCGAGCCTGCAACCTGGGCATGTGCCCTTAAACGGAATCAAAGGTGGGACCTTTTAGTTCACAGGCCGATGCTCTGTCCACTGAGTAAAACCAGTTAGAGCAGGCTATTTTTAAATGACTGTTATTTCAAAGGGATGCCTTGAAAGGAGGGCTTAGAGAGGGTGGTGGTAGTTTAAAATAAAGATTACTGTCTCACTGGACTTATTTTAAATGAACAATTCTATTGTAAATAATACCATTTAAATGACCAGTGCGAGATAGGAACATCAATGATGAGAATCATTTATCGGCTGTCTCCTGCATGCCCCTTACTGGGGATCGAGCCTGCAACCTGGGCATGTGCCCTTAAACGGAATCAAAGGTGGGACCTTTTAGTTCACAGGCCGATGCTCTGTCCACTGAGTAAAACCAGTTAGAGCAGGCTATTTTTAAATGACTGTTATTTCAAAGGGATGCCTTGAAAGGAGGGCTTAGAGAGGGTGGTGGTAGTTTAAAATAAAGATTACTGTCTCACTGGACTTATTTTAAATGAACAATTCTATTGTAAATAATACCATTTAAATGACCAGTGCAGAACTTCAAAGGGAAGTGAGGGGGGAAACTAAAAATCAAGATGTTGGTTGTAAATTATTCCATTTTACAATGGATGCCTCAATTTTTAAACATATGGTATTACTGGTATTTTAAAATAATCTTAGTAATTTCATATATTCAAATTTTCTTAGTTATATTTTAAAATATCTCATGTATATGTGAATTAGAAGTTCAACTTTAGGAAGAGAATAACTTAACACTACTTTAGCTGTCAATGATTAAGGTGACATGTAAAAACCAAGAAAAACAACACTTAAAAAAAAAAATCAGACTTGCAAATATTCAAAATGAAACTTTATTTTCCATCTGTATATTCCAACTTTGTCACACTAAAATGGAAAGTGTGTGTTTGTATAGGAGTATGAGTCACATACATCTATACTACCCACACCCAAAAACAGAGAAAACACAAAAATGTTATAAAACAAGGTTTATTCTGCAATAGTTTGTCATAATGAATTGCATTTCTTTGATAAAAATAAACTTTATAAACATTTTAATAATCAGAGATTAGATACAAAAACTAAACATCTGTTAAGTTGTTTTAATATGAGCAAAGATTGGCAACTGAGAAGGGGTTCACTTGGGCTGGTCATCTACTGGCAGTTAAAACTCAAACTCAGGGCAATTTTTATGCTACATTAGAAAGGGGACAAGGAAACAGTATGATTCAAATTTCTTGAATCAAACAGCATTCTTACACTTTAATTAAAAATAAATACTAGTTACAATGAATTGGCAATTATACATTTTTATACACTATATGATGGCAACGTAATACTTTAAAATTAAGCACTTTAATGAGAAATGTACAACACTTTAAAAATAAGTTTTGACAATGGCACTGGCAGTTAGATTCCAAAAAAATTGCTTTAAGAAAAAAAATGGCAGGTATAACATTAATATACTTTGTTTTTCAATAAATATTTTGACCACATCATTAACATATTGAAGTAAACTTTAAACATTTCAAACAAAAACTATAAAATATATGTAAACCAGAAAGCCTCAAAGTTCTTATTTAAATGCTATGGTCTTCACAAGTTTTTTAAGTTACTATAGTATTTAAGACGATAGTCTTTATAGATTTGTGAAGTATTCACATCTGTTGCTTAAATTGCTGGGAAAGGCTGGAGAAGGCCTCCTGGTCTACCAAGACACACACATTTCCTCTTTAACTCTTTCTCTGTCTTTGAATTCATGCTAACATTATGTTTAACTGACCATCTAGTATGAACCTTTTTACTTAATGTCTCAGAAAGTAGCAAAAGAAAAAATACATATATCCTAAACTTTAGTATATACAAAGAAACCTAAGTTAAGAGAAGTCATGCCAGCTATAAGGAGAGCAGGAAAGGCTCAGAGGTGGAAAAAAGGAGATGATCCACCGATAATTAGCTTTTCCATGAATACGAGTAATGTTTCCTTTTTCTGAATTTGAAGATAAAATATTCACTAATTTAGTAATATATTGCACAAATAAATTTGAAAAACACATAGTATTCAAGAAACACTGATTATATTTAGAATGTGAAAGATGAAGATTGTGTTGAGGCAAAATTTTTACTAGGGATCTATTTATAAACTGGAATTGGTTCTAACAATTTATATTGGTGTAAGGCAAATTATAAGTTAGCTTAAATCAGTTTTAAACTATGTTGAAAAATATTTACTTCTCCAGGATTGTTGCTTTTATTACAGTAAGAGTTGTTGATGATATATTATTTATAAATACAATTTCCAGTCCATAGAAATTCAAGTGATTTTCCTTAACTGAGTGGTTATTAGCCACATTTTTATTTCAATACACCTGAGAAATGGGATCATAATGTCTATGGAAGTAATAACGGGGGACCATAATTATAAAGTTTCTTCCCTTTGAAAATAACTATGTTGGTAAATGGAAAATTAGGCACTGAATTCTGTACAAGAATTAAGTGTAAAATATTGTGTAACTTTTCTGTTAATTTTTAGTGCAAAATTGTTTATTGCCCTTGCTAGTGATAAATATAACTTCAATTTTTAAATTTCTGGGATTACATGAAGAGAGAGAGAAAATCAAGCTTAAAGAATTATTGTTACTCATATTAAGACAAAATAATTATGAAGAACTCTATTAGAACTGAGAATGACTCTCCCCCTCCTTATCTTCATCTGCCTTTACTTAGAATAATTATCTTACTAATGGACAGGAACCAGAGAGAACATTTTTGGTACAGAATTTCAGCAGAGCCAGGCTGGTGTGGTTCAGTGGTTTAACACTGACCCATGAAGTAAGTCACTGGTACGAGTCCAGTCAGGGCACATGCCTGGGTTGTGGGCTGGAACCCCAGTATGGGGTGTGCAGAAGGAAGCCAATTGATGTTTCTATCTCTCTATCCCTTTCCCTTATTCTCTCTCTAAAAATCAATAAAAACATTTAAAAAAAAGAATTTCCTCTAAAAATCAATAAAAACATATTTTAAAAAAAGAATTTCAGTAGAACAAAATGAACTGGAATCAGGTCATTGAAACACTGTTACTAAAGTCTATCGAGAGGGCCATGGTAAATGGTTTAGAAACATTGTTACTAAAATGATGTTTTATAATCTGTACTATTTTATACTGTGGTAAAGCAATTTTTGGTGTTAATACTCACTGTCTACAGTAAAAAGTGTCAACTTGAGTTAGCCACTTTCTGTAGTAGATGTGACATATATGAAGAAAAATCCAAATACCTTATCCTGCATACTTAAGGACTATTTTTCATTATTAGCAAATTTAAAAATTACTAAATTTCAACAGCACCGATTCTATTAATGTAGCTATCCAGGTTCAATTACAATTAACATAGAAACAGAACAACAACAACAAAAAAGAAACAGAACAGATGACAGTTTTGCCCTAATAAAATTTAGAAGTTAAAATATTTATCTCTTAAAAAAATCCAAAAAACGCTTTGTAGTCATAGAAATAGCTCAAAGTAACAAATCAAAATCATAAACCTATGTGTGTGTATAAATGTATATACATATATATGAAATTATCAGAAAATGAAAACAAGATCACTATGAAACAAGATGTTGGAAAGTTGCTTCTGTCATTCTAAAAAGATATATATAATGAATAAGTTTACTTTTATTACCATCCCTTATACCTTCTGAATAATATAGTCAAACTATACAAATGATATGAAAAAATGTCTCATACAAGCAGATTTGTTCAAATACTTAAAATGCCTTAGTCAATGCACATTTGGAACTGTAATATAAAATATTTAGGCATGGATTAATGGCACATAATAGGTATTATACAGCCTTCTCAAAAGGGTATAATGTGCAAGATTTAATTTCATATAAATTTTGAGATCCATGAAGGTATTTTGTCTCTGTAGTTTTGTTACACCCTTTTTAATTGGGTATACATACACATTTAAGTCATACAAAGCTTGAACGGATTTTCTTTCCTAAATGATCTACCTTTATTTATAATGATGTAATATTCAAAATATTTGCACTAGAATACACTCCATTTGTACTACAAGATTTCTAGAATGCAGTACATTTAACAAGCAAACAAAAAGATTCTCTTATTGCAAGTGTGTCAAAATGGGTGTTAATCCATAACACATTCTATGGCTATATCCTCTCATTGGATAGTTTCTACTCAACAAAGATAGCTAGTGGCTAATATTTAAACAATGGTTGCAATGCACTCTGGGAAAGAAGAATTCAGTAAATGCTAAAGTTTTTGGAAAGTAAAAAAAATTTCAAAGATATTATAATAGGAATTGGAGTGCTTTTAAATGAAATTACATCACAAAATGGCCTTTTCTACATCTTATAAATCTTTGCTGTACTCTCTGCCTATGTAACCAAAAGGAATATTCTAGGCATCTAGGGTCTTTTCTAATTTATATTCAACTTTGTCATGCTTCAACAAAAAAAATTAAAAACAAAAATTAAGACAAAATTAAAAATCCAAATATTATCCTACTGGGTTGCATGTGTCAGGAGAGGAGTATGTGAGAGACTGAGCAAAATTTTTAGCTACATCAGCAGTTGATTACAGACTGAAAAAGAAAACGGAGTTGCCAATTATTACATTTTGGCATAAAAAGAGAATAAAAGATTTCTCCTACAAGTTTCAGATAGAAGCTATGGATTTTCTTGTATAAAAATTTCAAAAATCTTAGAAACACATCACAAAAATTATGCTTTTAGGAGTTCAAATCATATTTATGGTTGGGCATGATCCTAATAGCAATTATTTAATGAAAATTAAAAAACAAACAAAAATGCTTTGAAATAAACAATTAGCATCCCCTCCCTCCCCTCCCCGAAAACAAAAATAAGTCCATATGGCTTTGATATCCCTTGTAAAGAATTAAGTAGAACAGTATTGCCACATTTTAAAATAATTTCACACTAACAGGTATTTCTATTTTTTCCGCTGCTTTTGATTTTGTGTCTTTGCAGTACTTATTAGGGAACCCAGACATGTACGAATTCCAGCAAGGTGGAGTAGAGACCCAGCTGCCTCTTTGAGCTCCTCATCAATTTCCTGACATGACATTTTTCGCATCTTTTTGCCTGGCTGCCCCTTTGCAGAGTTATCTGCACAAGGCTGTGATACATAGCCACTGTCTCCAAGAGGATCATCTTCGTAATCAACATCTGTATCTTCTTCACTGTGAAATCCTTCACTGCCATCACTTCCCACATGACTACTCTTTGGGATAAATTCATATACTTCATCCACAGAAGACAGAGAAGACACGCTAGACCTGGATGCGCAACGCTGTGCTGCCATGCTATTTGCACTGTAATTGTGGTCTTCTTTTGGATCAATGCTGGTAGCTAAAGAATCACTCTCTTGTAATCGCATAGCACTGCGATGATTAAATGCATTGCCATAACTCCTTTTTTTCTGCATTGCTGTTTTAAGAGAAAGAGGCTTCTCACCTGTGGAAAATAAAACTTTCAATAGGTCAAATGCATTTGATTGCAAAAACAAGCCATTTAAAACAACTATATCATTCCTGAACAGTAAGACAGTAAGGGCTGTAAAGTTGGAATGTTTTGTAGGTTCTTTAAAAAAAACCACAAAAAAAACCCATGTCTGCTGGCACAGCTCAGTGGTTGAGCATTGACCTATGAACTAGGAGGTCACAGTTCGATTCCCAGTCAGGGCACATGCCCAGGTTGTGGGCTCGATCCCCAGTGTGGGGGCGTGCAAGAGGCAGCCAATCAATGATTCTCTCTCATCATTGATGTTTCTCTCTCTCTCTCTCTCTCTCTCTCTCTCTCTCCCTTCCTCCCTAAAATCAATAAAAAAATATTAAAAAAAAAACCCAGACCAACCATATTATTCTGTAGGTATTAATCTGAAATATTTTAACACCACTTAATGATATGTCTTGACCTTTCCAGGGAAAATGGAATTATTTTGAACTGCTTGCACAGAATGCCTCAATATGTATGTCACCACTACATTAACTGTACCATTACAATGGTTTGCTAACCATCTCCTGGTTGGTATTTGTAGGTTGTTCCCAATTATTCATTACTACAAATAACATTGCAATGAAAATTCTTCTAGATGCCTTTTCTCACACATATGCAAATATTTTTTTAGGAGAAATACCAAGATATGGCATTATTAAGTAAAAGGATATGCACATTTAAAGTTGCAATTGGTATTTCCAAATTGCCCTCCAAAATGGCTGGACCAATTTTTATCCTACAGTCTATGACAATACCCTGTTCCCATACTTAACACTTAACACTATAAATCATTTAAATTTTTCATAATTACATGGGCAAAAAAAGCATCTCAATATTGTTTCATATTGCATTTCCTTGATTTCTAGAGAAGTTGCATATCTTTTCAATTGAGTGTTGTCAATGTGTATGTCCTCTCGAGACCCATCTATTAATATATTTTGCTGGCTTTTTTGTTGAACTGTTTTCTTACTTCTTTTTTAAAATATATTTTTATTGACTTCAGAGAGGAAGGTAGAGGGAGAGAGAGACAGAAACATCAACAATGAGAGAGAATCATTGATCGGCTGCCTCCTGCATGACCCCCACTGGGGATCGAGCCCACAACCTGGGCACGTGCCCTTGACCGGAATCGAACCCAGGACCCTTCAGTCCCCAGGCCAACGCTCTATCTACTGCAGTGGTTCTCAACCTTCTGGCCCTTTAAATACAGCTCCTCATGTTGTGACCCAACCATAAATCTATTTTTGTTGCTACTTCATAACTGTAATGTTGCTACTATTATGAATCGTAATGTAAATATCTGATATGCAGGATGGTCTTAGGCGACCCCTGTGAAAGGATCGTTCTACCGCCAAGGGGTCGCGACCCACAGGTTGAGAACCGCTGATCTACTGAGTCAAACCAGCTAGGGCTGTTTTCTTATTTCCTATTTGTAGAACCCTTTTAAATACATATACTCAATATGAATCCTTTCTTTTATATAGTATAAAAAAATGTCCTCCCAGTGTTTTGCTTGTGTTGCTTTTCTTAAAGACTTGTTTTGTTGTCAGAACTCTAAACATTTGATGTCTAATATAATTTGCCCATCTTTTTCTTTCACGCATTTTGTACTTTTATCTTTTTTTTTTAGTTTATTTTTTATTGTTGACTAGAGGCCCGGTGCACGAAATTTGTCCACTTGGGGTGGGGGGTGTTCTCTCAGCCCAGCCTGTGCCCTCTCGCAGTCCGAGAGCCCACGGGGGATGTCCGACTGATGGCTTTGACCCACTCCCCTAAGCCGTCAGCCAGACATCCTTAGTGCTGCTGCGGAGGCAGGAGAGGCTCCTACCACCACCGCTGCACTCGCCAACCGTAAGCACCTGAACGTGCTCCCCCGTGGGAGCACACTGACCACCAGGGGGCAGCTCCTACATTGAGCGTCTGCTCCCTGGTGGTCAGTGACCATCATAGCGACCAGTCTTTCTGCCATTTGGTTGATTTGCATATTACCCTTTTATTATATAGGATAGTATTACAGATGTCCCCTATTTTCCTCGCACTTCCCCACTCCACCAGCTCCTGCCCCACCCCAGGTCTTCACCACACTATTGTCTGTGTCCATGGGCTATGCATATAAGTTCTTTGTTTAATTTCTTCTCATCCCCATTCCTCTCCCCTCTGAGATCTGTCAGTCTGTTCCATGCATCTATGCCTCTGGATCTATTTTGTTCGTCAGGTTATTTTGTTCAATAGTGTCCACATATAAGTGAGATCCTGTGATATCTGTCTTTCTCTGACTGGCTTATTTCACTTAGCATAATGGTCTCTAGGTCCATCATGCTGTTGCAAAGGGTAAGAGATCCTTCCTTTTTACTGCTGCATAGTATTCCACTGTGCAGATGTATCACAGCTTTTTTATCCACTCGTGTACTGATGGGTACTTGGTCTGTTTCCAGATCTTAGCTATTGTGATAATGCTGCTATGAACATAGGGGTGAATACACTTTTTCTGATTGGTGTTTCAGAATTCTTAGGATATATTCCCAGAAATGGAACTGCTGGGTCAAACAGCAGTTCCATTTTTAATTTTTTTGGGAAAACTACACACTTTTTTTTTTCAATAGTGGCTGCACCAGTCTACATTTCCACCAGCAGGGTACTATGATTCCCTCTTCTCCACATCCTCACCAGCACTTGTTGTTTGTTGATTTATTAATGGTAGCCATATTTAAAGAAGGCTTTTCCTATTCCAAGGTTATAATTATACTTTCCTATATTTTCTTATTTATAGCTTTCATTTTTACTTTTAAATCTTCAAGCTTAATTTCTAAATACACTATTTATTTCTTCATTTCTTGGTCAATGTAACATGATCTATCATAGCATTAATCTCAATCTTTCAATTGCTCACTAAAGAAATGGAAATATAGTAAAACAAAAATTAAATTATTCGAATAAAAATACAACTTAGCTGGAAAGAATAATTTGCTGTAACATTTAAATATCTTGCATTCTAAATTATAATGAAAAAGGCACTCACAAAAATGTATTTTAAAAAGAAAAGCATGATTACTTACATTCTAGAATTCCTTGTTCTATAGAAGTATTTAAGAGCATCATTGCAGTGGCAGCATCAATATCAGATTCTGAAAAAGGAAAACTAACAATTTTAATGTTTTTTATTATAGGCATTTGCATGCACCCAAAGGTAACCAACATTAAGATTTTGGTGTATATTCTAATTTTAAAAAAGACTAGTGATGGAAGGAGACTTGACTTGGGGTAGTGAACACACAATACAATTATGAAGATGATGCATTATAGAATTGTGCACCTGAAACCTATGTCATTTTATTAATCAATGTCATCCCAATAAATTCAATAAAATTTTGTAAAAAAGAAAAAAATTTAAACAAAATGAGGTACATATTTTGCCATCTGCTTTTGTTCACTTAAAATTATGAACAGTTTTGTGATTAGTATTGTATATAGGAGGGTTGACAGGTATAGAGATAATAAAAGTTTTATTCTTTAATTATTTACAATGAAAACATAACCCTGAACTCCACTTCAATAAGGTTTGTCCTTAAACAAACTAAATTACCTAGGAATGTACATTAAGGCATTATTACGTTTTAACATTTAAAAAATATCCTTATCTATGCATATCTGCAGTTATAAAGTAATGCATTAATCACATGCTAACGGAAATAAAAATAAATGTAATTGGGCAGTCTGGATCATATGAATCTACAAATGCTAAAGGAATAATTATTGCTGGCACAAAAAATATTAGTACTAATGTCTTTAGTCATAATTATATATAAGCCTATATGTACTATAGGTTTATATAATACTCAAGAGGTCAAACATAATTATGAATATTCCATAAGAAAAATGGGCTGGTAAAACCAGCAGGTTCTACTCCAGATAAGGTCATTTTGCTCTCATATCTATTTTTCTACTGAAAGGTCCTCTCCATCTTAGTGATCTATTAATCTGAATAACTGCACTCAATAAAAGTGAAATGGTATAACCTAAAATGTCAAGGAAAAGTTAGAAAATATTTAAACTTTTTAGATTATAAAGGATACGTTTAAAATAAGACTCAGACACGAAACCTCCCATTTCTATCTCAAAGCTAGAAAATTTTTATTATCCCAGTTTTTCATTTTACTTGCAATATCTAATTATAAAGTTATTTTAAATAAAGTCATAAAGATACTGACTTGTTCTTCCCCCAACTTTACTGTAAATTCCGTAAATGCAGGCAATGTTTGTTACTGTCTGTACGTAAATCAGAAGATGGTTGCTATGAGGGAGTACACATAATATTAGAGCTCTTTTCCCTTAAATAAAATGTGACCTCATGAAACAAAGTCTCTACATGAACATCTTTCCAATTAGACTGTCAGCTTCTTTAGGGTAGGAACATTATCTTACCTTCTGTCTTCCATAATATCAATAGTAGGTCCTTAATAAATGTGGAAAGAGTAAGTATATTATATCTTTCCCTCCTTTCCTTAAACTGAGTACCACTAAATTACTAACTAACATTGAGCACTTTCAATCATCTTGGCATATTTTAAGTATTATTAACTCATCTAATTTTCACAACTTTATGATATGTGTACTATTTGTACTTCCATCTTAAAGATGGGAAAACAGACACAGAGGAATCTCTAGGAATGAGAGGTAGGATTTGAACCTTGGTGGTCTACCTCCAGAACTCTGGCCCTCAATTTTTACTCCATCATCAACCCTTAATAGGAAATTCTGCAGAAAATTATAGAATATATTGGAAATTCTTGATTCTGTTATTCATTCAATAAACTAAGTGTCCTGTTATAAGCCTGACATCATTTCATACAGCAGAAAACAAAACAGGAAAATCCCTAACCTCTCAAAACACAAAGAAATAATTAAAGTACAGTAAGCCAGAGAGTCATAAGCACTAGGGAGAAAAATTAAGAGAAAAGGGAGATACTGAGAAAAGTGGTTACAATTTTTAATACAGAGGTTAGGGAAGAGGAGAGGGTAACAGTTGAGCAAAGACTTCAGGAAGGTCAGAGAATGAAGAAGCCATGTGCATATCCGAAGGAAAAGCATTTAGGCAGAAGAGCAGCAAGTGAAAAAAAAAATGGAATCAATGATTCCCACATGTCATAGCCAAGAAGCTAGCAAAACAAAGACCTCTCCTATTCCTTTTAGAAAGAGACTTGACTACAACTTTGACAGAGTTCAATATTTTAACGTGTCTTTGAAGTGAAAAAGGTGCAGCCGCTACTAGACCATATTGTATCTCTGTGTGAGTTGGAAAAAAGGCAACTCTGTCTCCAGGTGAATGCTTCCCTGTATCAAGGCACACAGCTTGAAGACTGGAAGGTGGGCTGGATTTCAGACCCCACTCTTTCCTCAGCCTGGTGTCCTTATGCAGGATACAACTTGCATGGCATTATGTAAATGTACAGAGATTTTCCTGTTCCATGAAATAACTTTTCTTTTAATAGAAAAAGGTCTTCCTTATTTCCAATTTTATATATATATGAATGATGTGCTGGGGAAGGAGCAAATCTAATACTGAAATTCATTATAAGGAAATAATTTCAGAAAATTTATAATCTTATAAAACTTATAATCTTATAAATGTAACATATAAAACCTTATTAAAATTTAGTATACCTCTAACTTCCATTACAATTCAAGGAGTCATATTTCTGAACACTATACCTAAAACTAAAGAAAACTGATAATAGGCTTATCTTGGCAATTATAAGTAAGCTGCATGAACACCATTTCTTTTCTTAGTTTTCAAATATTTAAAGTGATAACAAAGAGAGGCACTATTTTTGTAACAGTAGAATAATAGATGTATTCCTTAAATAGATTTATTTCTTGTAGAGAATTTATTATACCTAATTAATTTGAACTCTCCCCATAAAATTAACTTTATAGAACCAAAAACTTCTTTGCAAGAAGATTTTATCTACATTTGATTTGTTTGGTTTAGAACATTTATAAGTATGCTTCCCACAATGCCTTGCCAATTAATGCTAACTCTGAATAAAAGTTTAACTTCACCATTAAAATATTCATTAGAAATAGAAACCATAACACTTGGTAATCAAGAACACCTGATTATTAATGATTTGTCCAAGATACAATTTGAACTTCTTAGAACAAAAACTCCCTGTACAGCTTTACAACAATTTTTTTTTAAACCTCACCTGAGGATATGCTTTTATTGATTTTTAGAGAGGAGAGAGAGGGGAAGAGAGAAACATCGATGAGAGACAGAAACATGTGAGAGAAATATCAATTGGCTGCCTCCCTATCTGCCCCGACTGGGAATTGAATCCCCAACCTAGATATGCTCCCTGACCAGGGATCAAAACCCACCACCTTTTTGGTATATGGGACAATACTCCAACTAACTGAGCCATCTGGCCAAGGCTACAACAATTTTTGTTTATAGTACCCAATCTGTCTTGGTATTAAAATTAAACTGAAGACTTATTTATTGTCACAATGAAAACACCTCATATTTTTGTTATGGAATGTGGAATTTATGAAACTTATAGGCTAGCAAGAGAGTGCAGTAGAAAGCAGGTTACTGGGACTAATTCAGATTGCTAGCCCCCCGAAAATGTCTCATTTTCCCTATAATTTTTTTCATTGATAAGTATTTAACACTATTTTAAACACATACTATTAGCTATATTACCTAACATACCCAGTTCATGAAGAAAAATATTTTTGTTTTTATATGTCTTTTGTATATATTTTCTGACACTACTTAGATTAAGCAAATAATTCACTTCCAGTTGAAAGTCATTTGTCATTAGAACCATGAAAGTGATCCAAATAGTGATTTTAAAAAACAACAGTTCGAAGTCATATTATTTCCCTTTTTAGCCTTCCTAGTTCTGATTGGAGTTCAAAACATATTACTGATTTAATGACTGGTTCAAATAAATTTGTCAATAGTGTGAACTCCCACATTTCCTAAGCCTTATTGCTGTGAAATTAATAATAGTTGAGAAAAAATTTAAAAGGCATAAGTTTTAGCCCTGTGAAAGTGAGGACTATAAGATAAGTTTCTATTATCTGATTCTCAGTCCATTTGCTTAAGGAATGATATGAGAAGCACAGAGGCAGAATTTAAATGGACATAAGCGCAACAATAAGTATAAGAAGATTTACTGCCTCCATCAAAACTAACATACACATTTACAGAGCATCCAAATGGAGATGCTGTCTCTTGTGATTCTTTAAAGATTCTTTAGGAGAGCAATTTCAATAAATTACAACACTTCAAGCTGCCTGGACCATGGATTTACTTTCATTTCAATAAAGATACAAATTATGCTAATTTGCAATCTTAAATTGAATTGAGATTTGCACTTAGCCTCTAACATTACCATTAACTATCTAAATTTTATATCTGTTGTAGTAAACTAGTGCTTATGTATAAATACTAAAATCTACTACTAGTAATTAGAATGTAAGTTCCATTTTTGTCTGCATTGTTTTTCACTGATGACTTTACTACAAATGCACAGCACACCAAACATTGACAAAAAAGGTTTTGTTTTACTATCTCAGTATGAGATTCCTGTGCCACCTGCTACTGTTATACAATACTGTAACATAGATGCTAGTATATATAATTAGTCATTTTAAGGCAGTGGTCGGCAAACTCATTAGTCAACAGAGCCAAATATCAACAGTACAACGATTGAAATTTATTTTGAGAGCCAAATTTTTTAAACTTAAACTATATAGGTAGGTACATTGCTATTAACTTAATTAGGGTACTCCTAAGGCTTAGGAAGAGCCACACTCAAGGGGCCAAAGAGTCGCATGTGGCTTGCGAGCTGCACTTTGCTGACCACGGTTTTAAGGTGAACAAGAGAGACAACTACACTTTTTTATTTTATTTACTAGAGGCCTGGTGCATGAAATTCGTGCATAGGGAGTGTGGGGGTCCCTCAGCCCAGCCTGCTCCCTCTCACATTCCGGGACCGCTGGCTCCTAACTGCTAGACTGCCTGATAGCCCCTAACCACTCGCCAGCCTGCCTGATCACCCTTAACCGCTTCTACCTCGGCCCCACTCTTTCTCTTCTAAGAGGCCTTTCCTGAGTTACCTCTAAGCTTAATTTGCCATTCACTTCCTTTCCCGCCAGTGTACTCTGCATCATTCTGGCCAACCTTCTTCAATTAACTTTATGTTTTCTGAGATCAGGACCTGGATCTCTCTCATCTCTGTATATCCCAAAGTGCCCACTATAGTGTCTAGCACTGCGTAAGAACTCAACAATTACTTGTAGAATAAATAACTATTTATTCATTTAGCATTGTATTTTTCAAACTTTTCCCCAGGAAATATAATATCTAGAGAGAACAAAAAGCCAATCTCCTCAGAATTCTATGAAAATGCCCTAAAGCAACCTTATTTAAATATACATTTTCTTAAGTTTTGGTGAAGTCTTTCGTTTTTCTCTTAGACTTCATATTCTATTCCAGGCTAGATCTGCATTTTTTTTTTTTTTTACCTCAGAATATCAACACCTTCCCCACCAAGTTACTTCTTATTAGGGGAATAGGTCTAAGACTTATGAGTACAGAGATGAAGGGAAATAAAGTGTTAGCAGCACTGGGGAGATGATGCATAATATATATAAATCATTAAATGAAAGGGAAGTACCTACACAAATTATAAAAACCGGGATTAAAACTAGCAGGAGAAACTTGTGAAAGTGTCTGCTCCCCAAAGGGAATTTAGAAGCAGAATTTAGATGATATGAGATAAGAACAAGACAAGATTCTAAATAAACCCCAGAATTCAGAAAGAAAATGTTCTCAAAATGTGTATATGAACTGAGCTTGAAAGAGTGCCAGAAATTAATGAGGTAATACAAAGATAAAGGAAGTTTCAACAATACATAAATGTAAAGAGAAACCACATATACCCATTAGGTAATAGAAAAATGGATACTTAACTTATGTTAAACCAGAACATATCTGAAGTGGACTCCATATACACTAAACTTCTTTGCAAAGTTCTCTTAAACTTTTCCACATTCTCTCCATCCCTTGTTTTTACAGACCAACATTATACTGCTTCCTATGCTCAGCTTAGTGAAATTCCAAAGAGACAGTGTGTCTCTGATATACGGAAATGCTTTTGGTCTATGAATTTCTATTTTTAAAAATCATAGAAATTTATCTAGGCTCCAAAGCAACAATGCTAGAAACTTTACATTAACACATTACTAATCTCTAATATCAATTATGAGTAGGGGAAAAACCCACTAAAATTCAGAACTTTTAATATACTTTCAAAAAGAAGTTTATAAAATTTTATAAATTAACTTATTGTCTTCTTAAGTTCTTTTAACTTAAATAAACTATAAAAATCATTTTGAACTTTATTTAACTCAGCGGTTGGCAAACTTCTGTAAAGGGTCAAGTAGTAAATATTTTAGGCTTTGTGGGCCAAGAGGCAAAACCAAGGATACAATACAGAGGTCTCTGTTGTAACTACTTGACTCTGCTGTTGCAGCAAATTTCTTAAGTTTTATATTTTTATTTTTTCAACTACTTACAAGTGTAAAACCATCCCTAATTTATAGGCTACGCAAAAACAGGTGGCAGGCCAGATATATTCCATAGGTCATAGATTGCCAACCTCCTATTCTAGTCTAAGATGTACTTTGAGAAATATCTTCAAGGAAAAATACATGTTAAAGGAAATGAAAATGGGATATAAAACAGTGTATATAGTATGAGCCCAGTATTTGAAGAAAAGATATGTCTATGTGTGTGTCTGTGCATACACACAAACATACCTACTCATGAAAAAAAAAGCATAAAAATGACCAAAACAATTGTATCAAAATGTTTACAGTAGAATAAAGGGTAAGTTTTTAGTTTCTCCTTTATAAATATTTTTATTTTTCAAATTTTCTACAATAAACCAATAATTGCTTTATAATTAGAAAAAAAAAATTTCAATCCTAATTTTTTACCTAAAATTCTATGATTTAAAATACTGATCTTATACATACCTTTGAGGGTTTGCACCTGATTCTGCTTGAGTACAGAGCTTAAGTAGTGAGGTGATAAAGAGCCACTGAAAAAGAGATAAGACAAAGTGATTATAAGAATCTTTATTTTGCTTGTTTCAGAACTTAGTCACAAACACAACTAATTTCTAAAAAAAACCCCACCAAACTATTTTTACCTTGTCTTCTTTGTTTAATACTACTCAGTTTAGGAAGAGAATGCCAAAGCAGAAAGAGCATAAGATCAAGATTAAATCACAACTATTTAGATGTTCTTAGGCAAAATAATTAATCTCTTAATTTCTTCATCTGCAAAATAGGAATAATTAAACCTCCCACATAGAGATCCTCTGCCAATTAAATAAGGACAATGGCCGAAACCGGTTTGGCTCAGTGGATAGAGCGTCAGCCTGCGGAATGAAAGGTCCCAGATTCGATTCCGGTCAAGGGCATGTACCTGGGTTGTGGGTACATCCCCAGTAGGAGATGTGCAGGAGGCAGCTGATCGATGTTTCTCTCTCATCGATGTTTCTAACTCTCTATCTCTCTCCCTTCCTCTCTGTAAAAAATCAATAAAAATATATTTAAAAAAAAAATAAGGACAATGCATTTAAAATACTTAGAACAATAAAAACAAAAATTAAAATAAAATAAAATACTTGGAACAATAGCAATACATAATAGTTACTATTTGGTGTTGTATTGGATGCTTAAGTTTGACATTATATCACTATAGGTATTACCACAAAAATTGAAGAGTTTATGAAAACAAATGTTTAAGGAGCACTGAATGGTAATGATGCAAAACAGATTAAGTTCCTGATTTTATTAGTAAATATCATTATCACATTGAAATTTTTATATCCATGAAAAGAGACCAGCAATTTCTTCTTAAATCCAAAGATTAAAACATTTTTGGGACAAACTACTTCTGTTTTTTGGAGTTTGTGACAGTGTAAGAAATGTATTTTTCTAACTAAATTAAAAGTCTATTTTCTCCTCACAGTTTTATATACACTGTATCTCATTCTCTTCCTCAGAATTACCAATTATGAAACGAAAGGGCCACACAAAGGCAGGTCAGCTGGAACTATCATTTTGCCAAATAATGTAAAGGAGAAAATGTTTCTAAAAATAGTTAGGTGCCCTAGTCAGTTTGGCTCAGTGGATAGAACATCGGCCCACAGACTAAAGGGTCCCCGGTTCAATTCCAGTCAAGGGCACGTACCTCAGTTGCAGGCTTGATCCCCAGCCCTGGTTGGGACCTATGTGGGATGCAACTAATCAATGTGTTTCTCTTACATCAATATTTCTTTCTCTCTCTCTCCCCCACCCTTCCACTCTCTCTCTCTCTGGGAAAAAAAAAAAAATCAATCAATGGAAAAATACCCTCAGGTGAGGATTAACAGAAAAAATAAATTAAAAAGTAAACAAAAATGCTTAGTAATGTTTTAAGGTCAAACATTATAACCTTTATGTTGTCATTATTTTATCTACCTATTTTAAGCCATTAATCATTTTTATTTACCTTTAAACATGATAGTTAAAAATGTAAACATGAAAATGCAACATATGAAAGACACAATGAAGTGTGTTTTTGTTGGTATACAAAAAATTGCACCAATTCTCCCATTTAATCTTTTTTTTTAATCCTCACCTAAGGATATTTTTTCCATTGATTTTCAGAGAGTGGAAGGGAGGGAGAGGAGGGGAAGAGAGAAAGTAACATCAATATGAGAGACACATTGACTGGTTGCCTCCTGCACCCAACGCATCCAGGCCAGGGAAGAATCTGCAACCGAGGTACATGCCTTTGACAGGGAATCAAACCCTCTACCCTTCAGTGCGTGAGCCGATGCTATAACCACTTAAGTACACCAGCCAGGGCTCCCATTTAACCTTTAATTTAAAAAATAGCATAGCTAAATAAAACACATAAGTGACCTTCACTGAACTTATCAGTTTCTAAATTATCATTTTTTTAACCAGAACATAAGCACCAACATTAACTAATAAAGATATCAACTCCTAAACAATGAAGATATAATCTCATAACTTCTTTTCTAGATTTCATTTGTAAGAATAAATCACTCAGTTCTTGTTACAATGATCCTTTTACTTACTAATATGGTAAACAAGCTTAAAATCTCTAAGAGTATCCTAGATAATAAAAGGCTAATATGCAAATCGACTGAACGGCAGAACAACTGGTCACTATGATATGCACTGACCACCAGAGGGCAGACGCACAACACAGGAGCTGCCCCCTGGTGGTCAGTGCACTCCCACAGGGAACTGCCGCTCAGCCAGAAGCCCTGAGCCAGGCTCACAGCTGGTGAGAGCAGCAGTTGGCAGGAGCCTCTCCCACTTCCTTGGGAGTGCTAAGGATGTCCAACTGCCGGCTTAGGCCCGCTCCCTAAGCCATCAGTCGGACATCCCCCAAGGGCTCCCGGACTGTGGGACCCCCGAGTGCACAAATTTCATGCACCGGGCTTCTAGTATGTACATAAATTTCAGGATTAGCCTTATTTTTTTACTGTATTTCAGCTACCTATAAAAGTTACCTAATAATATTTTAAGAAACTAGTATATGAAGTGGTGATAATTGTTGCAGCTGGGAGTTCTTTTAACTTTCTCCCTACTTTTTTGTATGTTTGAAAATTTCCACTTATTACTTTAATTAAAAAGGTTTAAAATTTTTCCAAAAATCACATTAACCATTACAGATAACTCTTAAAAATATCTTGACAAAATCTGGCATTTTTAACTCAAATGAATGTACATTAATAGAATTCAAAAAGATTCTAAAGGCTTCTCTAGAAAAAGGAAACCAAATCAGATTTAAGGAAGTCATATCATTTTCAGATGCAATTTAAAATGGGAAAGCTGTAAGACCAATAGGAGTCACTGAGTTTGAAAGCAAAAGGCAAGGAAATACTTTACAACTGTATTTACCCGCAAAATCAAAACAAAATGTTACAATGACAAACAATCATCTTACTTAAACATTTTAAAATATACCTTTAATTTCCTACATCATTAGGTCAGCATTAGTATTGCAGACAATTAAAATGATTTAGTCTTTTGTAACTAAAATCATATAACTGTCTTTAGAGTTTAGTTATAATATATTTAGTACTGACTACATTTCCCAGAATTTATGTTACTTATCTAATATCCTGTTTCCTAATAATACAAGTTAGACTATAAGTAAAACTGCCTTACGCTAATGTCTTATCCATAAATAATTGTCAATAAAAAAAACGCCAAACCCCTACAACTTTGTTGAATTTCTCCATATCATACAGGGAAATCTTATAAAGCACCATTGATACTTATATGGAAGATCCTGTACCTTTCTGGAGATGTTAATGCTGAAGGGAAAGGTTGCTTCTTCAGAGCTTGCATAAGGTTGGGTTTATATTCTGGATCAACACACCATAAGGAACCTTTCCCATTAACCTAGAATAAAATACACAAGAATTAATAACCTGGAACTTTGTGAAAATGATATAACCCCTAGTTATACGGTGACCAGCATGGAGGGCTGTACAAAGTGGCCCTCCACACTTTCCAATGTCAATAAATGTTAGCCATTACTAGTATTATTGTTACTGAAAACTCAAAAAGAAAAGGAAACTTTCTATGCAGCATCATAGGGAATACTTTAGGGAATATGATACTAAGTGAGGCATCAAAGAATAATTCCTATTTTTTAATGGCATCAACAGCAAACAATTTAATGAAGATCATGGCAAATTCCTCAAAGAGTAGTAAGTTCGTGACACAAGTATGGAAAAGACTCTTGTAAAAAATTATAAAAGCTTTGATTGGGTGATTCAGTTTGTTGTTGCGTCATCCTATACAGCAAAAGGTCTCGAGTTTGATTCTTGGTCAGGGCATATACCTGGGTTGCAGGTTTGATCCCTGGTCAGGGCGCGCACAGGAGGCAACAGATAATGTTTCTCTTTCACATCTATGTCTGTCTGTCTGTCTGCCTCTCTCCATCCCCCTTCCTTTCTTGCAATATATCCTCTGGTTAGGATTAAGTATACACACGCGCACGCGCGAACACACACACACACACACACACACACACACACACACACACACACACACACGAAAGAAGCATTAATTCCTTCTCTTAAGATGGTTAAGTTTCAACATTTGAGGGACTTCTGGATAATATGGCTGGCAATGGGCACACAAGCTCAGAGGCCATTAAAATAAATAATCAATGTTAATGGAATCTAAAAATAATGGAATTTGTAGGATTCTGGAAACTAGAGAATCTATTAATAAAAGTGCCTACTAAATTACAAATGGAAGGCGCCTGAAAGAAAGGCTTACTTGATTCATAGTTCCCATAATAAGAAGGAACAGCTTATGAAGAAGGTAAGTGAACAAGATACCTGAAGAACCTCATAATATTATCTAACATGCAGGGGAAAGGCCAGGCTATGAGGTAACTCCTTTGAATAGGTTTGAAGATGCTGCATATTTTACCTCCCTCCTTCTTAAATTACACTACATATTAGTAGATTAGGAATCAAAACAGTCCTGCTATAATTAAACCTGCTTTATGTGGTTCCCCAAAATTATTTGACACAGAACCTCTTTATCCCAGGTAATATTTAAGAAGTTAGTGTTCTGTGGAATGCTGATGAGAAAAACTGATGTAATTAGCGAACTCTTATAGACTATACTTTCCAAATATTAATGGGAAAAAACTATAAACATTGATTATACCATGAAGAAAAATTAATTCCCTTTTAAAGATCCCAATTTTGAACTCCAACACAAAAGAAAATAAAAATTAACAATCTCACAACTAAGTTCGCTGACCACTTGGAAATTTATAACCATTTTTGGATTAAAAAGCTATCCAAACTAAAATTACAGATTATCTAGTATCTAAAGGGTATAAGAAACATTGTTGTATCAAAACTAAGCAGATGTGGCCCTAGCTGAACTTAAAGGCAAAATTATATCCTCAAACACTTTCATTCTTAAACAAGAACTGCAATATCTGAAACAAGCTTTTGTCACATCTACAGGGGAAAAATAAAAAAGAAAATTACATAATATTTTATAATGTAAACATATTATATAAAATCATATAAAAAGAAAATTGATAAGTATATAAACTAAAAATTGGGAAAAGAATAGAATAAATTCAAGAGAGTTTTTAAAAAACCATCAGTATCCCATACATACTAGTTGAGCTAGTCAAATGAAATAACAGAAGGGCCCTGGCCAGATAGCTCTGTTGAAACGTTGTCCTGATGTATATCAAGATTGTGGGTTCCGTCCCAGGTAGGGGCACATGCAGGAGTCAAACAATGTGTAAATGAATGGGCGGAGCAACAAATCAATGTCTGTCTGTTTCTCTCTCTCCCTAATCAATGAATAAAAATGTTTTTAAAAAGGAAATACTGAAGGACGTTAGGAACTGTCATATCACTCATTAACTCTTCCTATTAATTTCCCTATTTCCTTAGCTGAACATCCCTACCTACACATCCTGAACAGAAGCCCGACTACAAGCATATTTCTACAAATGTACCACATTCACAAACAGAACTCCATAGCCATGCAAAGAGGAAGTCCAATGGCAATCTCATCCCACTTCCCCAGAGCTAAAGACTATTCATACAGTGATTAAGAAGGCAAGCCTTGGAATCAGGCTGCTTACTTTAGAAACTGGTTCTATCACTTAACAGCTGTGTAACCTTTAGAAAAATGTATATGTTCTCTGTGTATTAGTGTGCTCAAAATATCTCTATATAAATTGTACCTACTTCAAGAATTACTTTATTATAAGTTAATTCGCATAAAGTGCTTAGAATACTGCCAGACATTCAACCACTCAACAAATGTTGGCTACTAGATATTTTTCTCCACAAATGTAAAAAATCATTTACAAGTATAACCTGTCCTCTCTCCTACCATATGATTTTCAAAACTTCCTCAGAACCTCAGAACTAACTCAGGAGATTAGTGAAATTCAAACTATTAATTTGTTAACCCTTTCTTTAATTTGATTTACATTCACAATTACTTAGACAACAATAAAATTTACATGTTTTCTGTTCCCCTGCTCCCTGTTATTTATATAAAATCTTATATAATATAAGCTATTATAATTGCTGAAGATTTGATGTGATGAATTCTAGAGTACTTCCATTGCCCTAAATCTTTTGCAAGGTAATATTAATCTATTACTGAGGCTCTTTTATCTTTGAATATCGTGTCATAATTATTATGGCAGAATGGCACAATGAAAGAACACTTCTACAGGTTTAAAAACTGAGGTCCTGCCCTAGGCGGTTTGGCTCAGTGGATAGAGCGTTGGTCTTCGGACTGAAGGGTCCAAAGTTCAATTCCAGTTAAGGGCACATACCTCATTGCAGGCTCCTGCCTGGCCCGAGGGTTTGTGCAGGAGGCAACCAATTGATGTGTTTCTCTCCCATCCATATTTCTCTGTCTTTCTCTCTCCCACTCTCTAAAAATCAATGGAAAAATATCTTCCAGTGAGGATTAAAAACACACAAAAAATTGAGGTCCTAAAAAACAAAACAAAAAAACACTGAGGTCCTAAACAGTGCTTCTTGATTGGCTAAGTGATAATCAACAAATCATATCTCTAAGAGTCAGTCCTCTCATGCATAATTTATCTGTAAAATAAAAAACCAGGCCATCACTAAGTTGTGATGAGATTCAAAGGTAATTCATATGTAAGTGACAGAGATAAAAAATAAGTTAATACTAGGAGGATATTCTGAAATTGGCATATGTACAGTGAGAGATTATATGGTTTAATAACAGTATATTCTTATTCCTTTATTTCTAAGAGATGAGGTAGTTTTAAAAAACAGTAAGAACAAAAGTCAATTAATTCCAGCCTGGCTGGTGTGGCTCAGTGGTTGAGCATTGACCCATGAACCAGGAGGTCATGGTTCAATTCTTGGTCAGGTCACATGCCTTTGTTTCGGGATTGATCCCCAGTAGGGGGGCATGCAAGAGGCAGCCAGTCAATGATTCTCTCTCATCACTGATGCTTCTATCTCTATCTTCCCCTCCTTTCCTCCCTGAAATCAATTTTTTAAAAAGTCAATTAATTTGGAATAAGAAACAAAGTCAGGTAGTAAAGAACAAGGGCTAAACTAAATTTAGAAAGGAAAAAAGCCCTTGTCTGAGGAAAGGTATGGTAACTGATGTAAGGCAGTGTTTAGCATCCTAGCAACTTAAATACATAGGAAAAGAAAAACCATGGGTGTCCTATCACACTGTAATATAGAAAGAAATATACCACATATCAGGTAAAACGTGTTTTTTTTTCTTTCAGTGGCAAGATACCACATGAACTATGCTAAACAAATATTTGAAATTTTGGGGTTTTTTTCCCCCAAAAGAAGTTAAGTTTTACAAATATACTTTTAGATTAAATGATGGAACTTCTTAAATTAAATATATATTTAGTCACTTGGCCCAAATAATGTTTTGGTGGGGAAACAAAATTATAAAATGTTAGCACCCACAAAATGCTTTGCCCCCAAACCATTCCAGTTTCAGAGAGAAAAGATATATGTAAATTATTTTTGATATATTTACTAAGACAATTATTTTAATAATTCTAGCTATGGTCTATCTTGATATTTCTGAGATTACACTCCTAGACACTGTTTTCAAATTCTATTGTGAGAGAACTGCAAATTGTTTTGATAATGGTAAAATCGCTATTTCCTTGAAATAGCAAATTAAAAGAACTGGTACTGAAAACTTGAAGTTCGGGGCAGTTAAGTATCTTGAATAAGGTCTCCAAATAACAGTCTGGTTTATGTTACCATGGCAGCACTTCCTTTCACTGGGTCTGTTCATGAACTATCAGTAACAAGAGATAAAACTATGCATTTGCTAATCTGTTTTAGAGTCTACAAGAAAAAGGAACTTATTTTTAACTAGCTCACTTCTTAAAAACTTGGCCTCTTCATTATTGTGCTTAGATGATAGAACAAATAATAAAGAGCTTTAGAAGTTAAGAATTGTTTTCAACTAAATTTACATAGAACAAGATAAATCTTTTGTGCAATGGAAACAGGAAATGTGTATTCTCTCATTTACTATTATGCATTTGGAAACACTAAGGCTTTTGGACCTATTTGGTAGAGAAGGATGAAGGTTCTGAAGAAATGAGCCAAATTTTAAAAAGATTTATCTTAATGGAAGTTGTAAATAATAGATAGGGAGAAGGGGCAACGTTCATTATTCCTGAGATTTTTTAAGTACTTGCCCCATACATTTTAGTAGAGTTCCCCCTCTTGACTACCTTTTCAGTGGTTTTTAGAACCACTGAATTAAAAAGAATTAACAAGTTAAAAATGGTATTCATATCTCTTGCTTATAGCATGAACTTTTATAGTGGTTAGCATGATTCCCCCCACCTCCCCCTGGGATTCAGC